CCCCCCCCCCATCCCTGGGTGGCAGATAGTTTGCTCCAGGCGCCTGCACACGCGCACCCCCAGTAGGACACGCGCTGGGCAGCATTGGACTCGCCCCCGGGGGGGCTGCCCAAGCGCTCGGTGAACCAAGAAACACTGGTTGTGACCTGAGTCACCTGGTCAGTGTCCGACTCCGAAGGGGACGCTTTTCCACCAAGACGGGCCTTGGGGCTCGGATACCTCCAGGGCAGGGTGCAGGCTCTAGCACCGTGAACATCGGGCTGGGAGAGATTTCTGTTTAGAAACTTCACTCGCCCCCGGGGGGGCTGCCCAAGCGCTCGGTGAACCAAGAAACACTGGTTGTGACCTGAGTCACCTGGTCAGTGTCCGACTCCGAAGGGGACGCTTTTCCACCAAGACGGGCCTTGGGGCTCGGATACCTCCAGGGCAGGGTGCAGGCTCTAGCACCGTGAACATCGGGCTGGGAGAGATTTCTGTTTAGAAACTTCACATCTGACGAAGTGGGTCTTTGCCCACGAAAGCTTATTACGCTCCTACACCTCAGTTAGTCTATCAGGTGCCACAGGACGCCTCGTCGCTTTCACCTATTTTAAGGATCAATGTATTTGCTGTGATGTCAGGGAGTCTTTTCCAATCCCCCGCCCCTGTCTTCCCAGAGCTGGATCAGTTGCAATGCAGCATCTCGAAGCACTAATCTTTGTTCCTCTGTGGTAATCTAGGGCAGAGTTCATACCGTCTAAAGCTGAGGCTCTAGGAACCCATCCTTCTGCCCTCTGCCCCTTTGTCTCTAAGTCTCAGGAGATTGCTGTGTGTCTGCAAACACTTCTTACTGCAGGTGCCTGACCTCTCCGGTCCATTGTCCTGCTGCCAAACCACACACAGTTCACATGTTCAGCCTGCTGTCATTAAGTGTTAATGTTCAGTCATTGGGATTCCCATGTTTTGTTCTGGGTCTTCAGTTAATATGTTGATTCCAGCCAGCTTTTGATGTCTTTCTCATCCCAGTTAACCCTGGGATGCATGCCTCTCTGTTCCCAGAAGTGTTTTGACTCCTCTGCTTCCAGTATGTGGAAATACCAAATCAAATGGGTCCCCTGAAGCTTGTATTGTTGTATTATATATTTAGAAAGCTCCTGCTTTCATCACTCTATCATTCCCAGTCCCTTGTTTGTCCTGATGCAGAATCCAGCTGACATTTTGAATTTGGATTCCTGCCCAGTTCTCTACCCCTAGGCCATGGGTTTTCCCCTTTCTGACTCCCTTGCATACTCAGTTGTTTCTTATTGCTTAGTCACAGTTACATGGTTACATTTTTAATTGTTTTTGTACATCCTTAATGGTAATCACATTGGAGAGACTGGTTTAGACCACCACCATTGCAAGAGCTGGTTATATACCAAAGTTACAGAGGTGATTTGGGAGGCTACTTTTTGTAAAATGCAGGGAGCAGATAGTATTACACAACATTGCCTGAAGAGCGCTGTTATTCTGTATCCTCCTACTGCAGGACTCTCAAGTAAACATCCTACAAGTGCTTCTGTAACGGGAAAATAAACGTATATGTGGGGGAAGTTGGGTAACCAAAAGTTTGTCAAACATACCAACTGGGTGTTTGATATTCTTCACTAAACTGATCAGAGTTAAAAGCTCAGGTGGCTAAAATCTACAGACTAGACCTATGGTCACTAACCCGTCGATCGCGATTGACTGGTTGATCAGGAGGGCTCGACCAGTCAATCGCAAGGCATTCGAAAGCCCCCCCAATTTCCCACCCCCAAGAAGCCCCACTACTTATCTCCAGCAACAATGGGGGTAGTGCCAGCTTCCTGCGGGGTGGAAGCCCAGCAGCTGCACACCACTTCTGGGGTTTTAGGAAGTGCGCTGGCTGCTCCCCCTCCCCCTATAGCCGGTGCGGTACCACAACCCAGGTTTGTGGCATGCCGGGGACTTGCTGCGTGAGGTAGGAGTCACCAGAGGAGGCACACATCGGGGCTTCCCTTCTCTGGGGGAAAGTAGGGGGGGAGGAGTCCCAGGAGGAGGCATGCTCTGGGGCTTCCCTCCTCTGTGGGCAGGGGGGGAGGAGTCTCCCAGGAGGAGGCACGTGCCAGGGCTTCCCTACTCTGGGGGGAGAAGGGGGTAGGAGTCCCGGGAGGAGATGCATGCTGGGGACACCCTGCCTCCATTGGCACCCTGCCCCAGCACCCACTAGCACTCTTCCTCAGTACCATGTCCCCTGCTCCCACCAGCACAATTGGGGCCACATTAGTGAGGTTTGGCGGTGGGAGGGGGTTGGAAGAGTTTTTTTTTTTTGCCTCTCACTTGTGAGCCCCAACTTACTGTTCTTTAGGTCAGTGACCCCTGACTCAAAACAGGTTCTCTGCCCTTCTCATAAATAAAAACAATGCTGAAACTTTTTGTTTGACATATTTTATTTAAAAATGAAGCCTGCCCAACAAACCCCCAATTGGGGCCAAGCCTCCATCTGGCTGCTGCATCCTCCCCTTCCCCCCCACCCTAGATCTGAGCCTTTCATACATTGGAACCTCCTGTCCTCAGCCTCTCCCATCCTCAAACTCTTGCACCCTCACATCCTCAGTCTTCTACCACAACACTTCTGCACCATCCACACATCGCACATCTGTGTCCTGAGCCCATCATGCTCCCAACCTCCCTGCCCTGAGCCCCTCACATACCCCAACCCAAACTCCTGCACCCTCACATCTATAAGCCTGTGGCTTGCTCAGTACCCCAACCCTCCACCTGACCCCAACAATTCCCAGCCTGGAGCCTCCTCCCCAAGCCAGCATCCCCTTCTCCACCTCCTCCTGCATCCAAATTTCCTCCCAGAGCTTGCACCTCTTGCCCCTTCCCACACCCAAATCCCTCATTCCCAACCCAGAGCCCACACATCCTGTCTCAACCCAGTGAAGGTATGGCTAGACTGCAGGAATTTTTCTGGGATTCCAGAGGAATCCCGGAAAAACTCTTCCGCATCCAGGGACAAGTTTGTTGTTCTGCTTTTTTTTTTTTTTAGTGGAAGAGCAAATATGCTTTTTTGGTAAACCCTATATTCCTTGTTCCATGAGGAATAAAGGGGCTTCCGAAAAAAGGTGTTTTTCTAACTTTTGGTCCAGTCTAGACAGGCCAAAGTTTGGAAAAACCTCTTCCTACAGAAGAAGCGGCGGGGGGGGGGAGCGGCAGTATAGCCATACCCTGAGAGTGTATAAGGGCTGGGGATAGCAAGTGATAGCGAAAAGGAGAACAGAGAGCGGGGCTTCCAGGAAGGGATGGGGTCTTGGGGGAAGGATGGGGCAGTAGATCTTGGCTTGTTCTGACATTTAAAAAGTGATCTCGGGTATAAAAAGGTTGGAGACCACTGGGCTAGACTATCATAATGTCTGTCGTCTTCTTCATACAGATCTCTTGTTTGTGTGCTAGTGCCTGCTGACACACAACTCTTTGCTTTAAAAAAAGAAGTCTGTTGGTCTGTCAGTGACTGCTTTACAAGTGTGGTCAAGGATTCTTAAGGCACTCCTCATTACACACTCTGGTATTGAAGAAACATCGGACCATTGATTTCCTCTCTGTATTATACATCTGGAAGTAAACAAGAGCATGTTGGGTAGAACTGGCAAGAAATTGACGCATATTTCAGATTTTTCTTTGGGTCTGGAGTGATCAAAGGGACAGTGAGAGGACAAAGGAACAAAACGTAAAGGTAAGGGAACAGATGTTGTAAACATTGTGTTCTAAATTAAGTTTGGAAGCTGATGTGTACTATGTGTGTTTTGTCAGTGAATTGATGACCTGTTAGATTTGATACTCATGTGCATTGGCTGTCTGGTGATGTTCCAGTACAAATTATCCAGGCTGAATGAAACACAAGACTATTCAGTTTAACTTTTGTTTATAATCAGTTTCAGGTCGACTCCCATGGCTAAGCACCATTTGAGTTTTCAAATAGTACAGAGAAATGCTTACATCCAAACTCTGTAAACAATTTTGATATTTGACTGTCAGTTGCCCGATATATGATAATGTAAAACTTAAAGTCTGAGTCTTACTTGCCAGAAGCTGTGCTTTATCTGCATACAAGGAGCAAATGTGGTGTCTTCTGCATACTCTGGCCCTGAAATCATCCTGGGTTGTGGTGGCAGTCCTGTGGGCTGAACCCCTGCCTGGTCTATCCATCTATGTTTTAGATAGATCAACACGTAGACATCTTACCACACTGACTGTTTCAGGGGTGATTAGGAGTACTTTCTGCCTTGCAGCTGAGAACAAGAAGGCTCAGGGACAGGAAGAGGAGGAGATGATGGTGAAAATGCCATGTTGCAGGGATATGTAATGTAAGTTAGAAATGAGAGCTGCTGGACCACCATGTTGGTGCATGTGCAGGATGTTTTCCTATTATGCTGGAGATGGAGAAGAATGAAGTTATTTCATCTGTACATGGTGCCACCATAGATTTCACTGAATGTTTTAATTTCCTCAAGAATTATCCCTTTAACTAATCATACTGGTTTGGAGAGTATGTCTGCGTATGTCAGAGACAAAAATTGGCAATTCTCCTGACCAACAGTTTCATTGGAAGGAGTATTGACAAGGGTTTTCGAGTACAGGCAGTCCCCGGGTTACGTACAAGATAGGGAATGTAGGTTTGTTCTTAAGTTGAATCTGTATGTAAGTCGGAACTGGCGTCAGCTGCTGCTGAAACTGATCAGTTTCAACCGCGGCTGAATCTGGATGCCAGTTCTGACTTACATACAGATTCAACTTAAGAACAAACCTACAGTCCCTATCTTGTACGTAACCCGGGGACTGCCTGTACTG